TAGTTATAAGGCGATATCTATAATCGGCTATCTAGGGGAAACGGCTCGTTAGTAGGCAACGAGAATATTATCGGCTCTATAGGCAAAGAGCCTAGCTCTCTTTCGAGCTCCTCCGCCTATTAAATAGAGGCTTCCTCTGCCTTAAGAGCTTGTACCTCCCGATCTTCCTTTATACGTAGCGACTTACGTAAGCGACGGACCTTTACGCGATGCTCGAAAAGCTTCCGCGTAAGGAGGTCTTCCTCCTCTTCGGCCGCTTCGAGATCTTTAGCTATCTTTAGGCGCGCCTTTCGGATTTTTTTATACTCTATACGAGTAACTTACATATTATAGGACTAGCCGTATAGGGCGCACTCGGAGCAGCGGCCGGAACGGAGATCGACTTTGTAGGATTTATCGGCCTATTCGCAATAAAAGTAGCGGATCGGCATTTCGAGGCAGTCGGCAAGGATATTATTTGCGATATTTTCCTTACGCTAACGAGAAGACAAGTCCTTTAATGACTTTAGCATAGCAAAGAAGTTAGAATTAGAAAGTTCCGGAATAAGGGACTATCCCGCTTAAGGAGGGGGATAGTGTTACGGATCTAATTAGTTAGAGTCCTTATATAATCTTAGAGCGACGCTAAGACTAGTAGGCTAAGCTGTCGCTCTATCTTACTAGGAGCGATAGGAGCGGTCGAGAGCGATAGCGTCGCTTACGTCGCTTACGACTATAGACAAGATATCTCCTTTATATTTAGGAACGCCGGAATGCCCTTATAGCTCGAGGCGTTCAACTTATATTACCTACTTACTAATTGGAATTACCTTTGTACCAATTATTCTGTCTCTGCCTCCCGCTTATATTAGCCTCTCTAAAGAAGCCTCGGCTTGCACGTAATAAGAAGTTACCTAACGATCTGTCGCGAGTAACCGTAACACCTAATTCGGTAGTGTTAATATAGTTAATGCTAAGATAGTCTTAGTAGGCTTTAGTTGCATTTAGTATCTTGCTTCTAATATAGCTAAGTCTCTAATGCACTCTAACAGTGTCTACCTTCGGTTAGGCAACTGCTAGCATAATAGCTAGCTAGCTTTTAGGAGGAACAATCCTAACATGCTTTAGAACTGTTACAACATTGTTAATCTTTGCCTCTCTAATAACCTTACCATCCTTTCTTTAGATAGTTATAGTTAGCCTATATAGGAAGTATCCAGTTTTACTATAGATCCTCTCTGCTAAGATTAGATTTATATTAGAGTTAGGTAAATACAACACCTCTCTAAGCACTATCTTTATAGTTTTGCCTTTCTAAAGGAATTCAAGGTAAATGTCCCTAATCATTCTATAGCTTCCCTTACCTAGAGCAAGGCTAAACTTAGCAGGTAATTTAAGGGATCTAAGGTTATAGAACTAGTCCTTGTTGTTGAACATATAGTATAATATGCTAGTGTCCTAGATTTTGATTGCTTTGTCCTAGTTTATAGGGGATGCTAATGCAATAGGAGTTGGGCTTTAATTAAAGGATGCTTAGGCTAGGGTTAGTGTAACGTATACCCCTAAAGCCTAGCCTTCCGAGTCAGAATCTGATTCACACTCGTTATTATTATTACTGCTGTTATCTTTTCTAGTAGCTATAGCCTTATTCCTAGACTTGGATTTATCCTTATCCTTTAATTTAGACTTGTCCTTATCTTTTGACTTCTTCTTTAACTTGCCCTTATCCTTAGATAGCTTTCTATTAGGATGTTGTTTCTAGCACTTTGTATTAGTATGCTTATGCTTGTAGTACTAGCACTGCTTATTGTTATCCCTAACCTTAATGTTAGAGACAACTGTAAAGGCCTTGCCTTATTGCTAGTTCTATAACCTTAGAGGCTTTTCCTTCCTAAGGGATATAATTATTGCTTCGAGAGTCTAGCTAGTCCCTTCCGGTTTATTATTATACCTCCAGCTTCTAAGCCATTCATAGTACTAAAGACTATTAATAAAGAGCATCCTAATCATTATATCTAGGATTTTAATGTCCTTAGGCTTGACCCCGTATACTCTTTCAAACTGCTTAGTAGCTGTTTTGTACTTCTATACCTATACTTAGAAGTCTTTATAGTACTTAAGGGTACTATCGGATATTGCTTGCTTAAGAGTAACTATTCCAAAATCCTTTAGGGTATTATAGATATCTACTATAATAATTGGTTAGTATATAGCTGCTATAGTCTCGTAGTAGTCCTTAGCAGTCTTCTACGTAATTATACTCCCAAAATTGGGTCTTAGATCTAGTGAGATTATCTTAACTAGAATACCTATAGCAATGCTATCCTTCTCTATAAACTCTCTAAGGGCTTTATCAAAATCCGGATCGTTATCGTAGTTAATTCGGAGAGGTTTATAGTATAGCTTTGCCTATTTCAAGTTATAAAGTATATATCTATACACTTTCTCCTTTAGCAGCTCTTTCTAAAGGATCTGTCTCTATAATGAAAAGTTAGTCGTCCTCGTAAGGATACGATTTTCCTTAATGCTTTTTACGGATTCTTTATTGTTAGCTATACTGCTAAGCTCTTTCTCAGCTCGCTTAGCTTATAGGTACTAATTATTAGTTAGATCTGATTTAGTACTAAGTGCAGGGTAGCCCTATTTCGGTTATTAACTCTAGAGGTGCTACTTGATCTGTAGCTAGTGGAATTAGCTTCAAACTAGTATCTCTGTAATAACAATTCGTCTATATTAGTTAGGACAGGTAAGCGTATGCGCCGGGCTTATAACCTATTGTAATTAAGCTAAGTAGAACAAGTTATTAATTAATTGACTATAGAATTATATAGAGAAGAAGGGATTAAGTTCTGTCTACGCTAGATGCTACATATATCACTAGGAAATTAGCTCTTAGCACTTAGCAGTGCTAACTAATCTACAACAAAAGATATATACTAAATTTAGTATATAAAGAAAAGTTAAAGGATTCTCCCGTAGAGCAGCTTCCTATAGGTAGGTAACACTCTATAGTAATACTTACCGCGGAGATCCTTAAAGACGGATAAGGTCTTATAGTCGCTCGCCGAGACGAAAAGGTTCTCGCTTTCTGTGTTTCCGCTTTCGTAGAGGTCGCGTACGCCGCTCGCCTCTTTAAAGTCGAGGCCGCTTATCTCCCGCCGTAATATTTCTCGATCTGCACTGCCTTTAGTATCGAAATCTTCGTTAAACTCGTCTAGATCTTCCTAGGTAGCGCTTTCGCTACCTGCCTCTTTTTGAGGCCGGTTCAAATCTTACTTACCGCGGGCATTCTCAGAGGCGAAAGGGGCCTCTTGTTCGCTCGCGTTCTCGGCGTATAGTGTAGAGGCTCGCTGATAGTCGTTGGTCATGTTACCGTTGGTCATTATGTTGCAAAGTTTGATGTTGCAGGAGCGGATAGTGTGGAGGTTGGTAGTGTAGAGGTAACGGTGTAGAGGTAACGGTGTAGAGGTAACGGTGTAGAGGTTGATGCTGCAGACGTTGATGCTGCAGACGTTGATGCTGCAGACGTTGATGCTCCAGACGTTGATGCTGCAGAGGTTGATGTTGCAAGAAGTTGTCGTGGAGCTTGAAGTTGCAAGAAGTTGTTTCAGAAGTCGGAGGTGAAGTTTGCGCCGCTAGGTAGTGCCTTCCAATTTCCTGTTTTAGTGCCTTCCTATTTCGAAGTGAAGTCAATTTGTGAATATGTAAGTAAGCCTGCTCCTATAAGCCGGAGTCTCTAGCCGCTATAATTATGCTCCTCCAATACACGGCTCGACGGAACTTAGCATTTGCCAGTATAGCAGGTGTAGAGGACTTTTGGCGCCTTTGGGATCGGGCACAGCGCCACTCCGTCGTAGCGTTAATAGCAGCAACTTGGGCGGAGAGAAGTGGACACAGAATCAGAGGTTCTAACAGGGAGTGATTCCTTGTAGCTACTAGCTACGTGACACGTTATAGCGCGGTGTAGTCACCACCACTACCACCCATCCCTCCCATCCATCTATCCTCCCCTCCCATCATCCCCAACCCCCCACCTCAAACACAATACAACAAATCGAACACCTCTCCCAACGTCGGATTCTTCCAATACCCCTTCACCTCATAATTATACAACCCCTCATTCCTCAGCGTCCCCACCACAAGCCCAGCATCCTCAAACAAATGCATTCGACGCCAAGATTGCCGTAGCAAACTTCTACCCGGACTCGAAATTCCCTCCTGTCTCTCATACCACTCCCTCTCCGTCCGCCTCACAATAACCGTAATCCCAATAACTCCCCCAGTACCCTCGATCGCATACTCGTAATCAAAGTCGATCGCCATCTCCGAGTTGAAAAGGTCGAGGAGTTTGATATAACGGCCGTTATTGAAGAACGGACTGCGCTGCGAGTGTTTTGAGTCGGGTTGATACCGTTTGTAGAGAGCGCTGAAGTGCAGGGCACGTTGGAGGGATGGTGTTGAGGCGATGATGCTGTGGAAAGCTTTACTTGTGCGTTGGCTGAGAAGGAGGGTTTGAATGCCTTCGTAGCTTTCGAGATCGAGGTTTTTGAGGATTTGTTCGAGGAGTTCTGCGGTATTAGAGACGCGCGAGCCAGATGAGGGTTCTTTGACTGCGCTGGTACTTGAGCTGATGGTCGAGGAGGATAGTAATGTGCCTAAGTCTTTCATGGACGAAGACTTGTCGGCCTCGGTCGAGTCCATGATTTCGGAGTCTTTCATAGTGATTGTTGTGTTTATGGCGAACTTGCGATGTTGTTGGATGGAAGCAGGATGTCGAAGTCGCGAGCTGTAAATTTGTAGTTGCCAAGAAACGGCTTCTTGCATATGAAACCTGTGGGAGCGATGGCACGTGCTGCGAGTGCTAAAACGCGGACTGCCCTGCAGTGACGAGGGGGAAAGTCGCGACGACAAAGAAAATGGGTGAAACACGAAACATCTTGTAGCGAAAGTAGCTCAATACGAACACGCTAGAATCGCAGCATCAAAGGAAAGGAACACACCTACTCCAAGTCTCACCAAAATCACCGCCTCTCAGCAAACGGCCAAGGCGCAGAACCCCTCTTCTCCTGCTCCCCGTTACTCGTCCCCAAATGTCTAATCCTCGGCAACTCATGACTTTCCTTTTCCCTCTCCATCTCCATCTCCTTCTCCCTCACCCCCCGATCCTTAACTCCAGGCAAACGCTCTCCTACAAGGAAAAGCAAAACCCAAAGTCCCAAATCAACAAGCACAAGAATCGTCGTCGCCCAGGTCAAAGCAATGAACTTGCCCCCTTTGTTCGCCCGAATGCCGATCCCATCTCCCAAGAAGTTGAGAACTGCCGCAGAACCGATGGCGATGCCGTGAGAGGATACGGAAGCTAGAGCCAGAAAGCCGAGGGCCGGGAGACAGAAGATTACGTTGGCGATGACCTTCTTTCGAGAGAAGGAGATGACGGACCAAATGCTGAGGAGGAGGGCGAGGCCGAGACATATGATTGCGATGTAATAAAGGACCCGAATGAAAATGAGCGGGTTGAGGTCGGAATGTTGGTCGCAAGATGTAATCACCTTCTCCGTACCATTTGGCGGGGGAGCTGAGACACCGATCGTAACGTTGGTACCGTTGGGCATCACAAATTCTCCGGAACAAGTGGTACGGAGATGAATGGCGTAGAAATCGCTGAGATCCATTTCTTCGATGAAGTCCATGTATGTGTCGTTGATGGCTTCGACGACGGAGGTTTGGGCAGAGTTCAGGGCCGAAGAGATTTTGCTGACGGCTAGGGCTTCGATAGAATTGATGCCGGATTCTACGCCTGAGGCGATGGCGGTGGCTTTGGATTGGATGGCGGATTGGGCTGAGGTGATTTTGCCGCCTGCTTCGGATTTGAGCGATGCTACGCCTTCGGTTAGATCACCGACCAGGGAGTCGATGTCGCGAGCCATGAGGGCAATGTCGAGTTCTGGCGCGAGTGTGATTTCTGCTCGTGGAACGAGGGTGACTGGTGTCGGGAATGCTTCGACATCGACAGGGAGAGAGCGCTTGCTGACGATCTTGGTAATGTTGAAGCCCATGATCTTGTCGTCGATCTTGTTGACGGCGTTCTGTCCGATGCGGGAGACGTTGAGTGTGAAGACTGCATAGTCGTCCATCATGCCCGGTTTGTTTCCAGCAAAGACGCAGAGGAAGGTGAGTACGAAAGCCGTCAAGGTCACCAGGACCGGAAGGATGGCGTATGGCTGGAATTGGCGTGGTCGCGCCATGTTGTTGGTATGGCTGCTGGAGTTATGGGCGGTCGTATGTATTTCTGTTTGGGTGGTGTTAACTCTTGCCAGCAAGAGGTTAAGGAATAAACAAGAAGGGTAAAAGAAATTCGTTATCGTGACAGTGAAGGTGTCGAAAAGGGACAGGGAAGAGAGAAAGTCACTTGGAGGCGGCAGTGAATAGAGGTCTAGCGACTGTTGTGTCGCGACAATGGATCTACTCGCCGAAATTGGTGGCAGACTATTCATAGACATGACGACGACAGCGAGACAAAGACTCCATACGCGAGACTCAACCGAGAGGCCTTTGTTCGCACTCATGTGGTCGCCGTCGCGTGTCTGCTGGCGCTGGCGCTGCCGCTGGATGTGTGTCGCGTTTAGTGGTGCGTTTAGTAGTCGCTGTCCTAGCCGCTGTGCCAAGCCTTTTCGCGCTTGCTGTGAAAGCCAATCAGCCCACGTGCATCTCTGAAAGCTGCGACATCCATGATCATACTGCTCCTGAGTCTTGGCGTGTCAACCATGCAGTAGCCATTCCAAGCTGCTGAACATTTCCGCTCTCTGCTCTACATAAGTCTTGTACAGAAGCGACATGCATCGTTCGCAGACTACACTTCCACTCATGACACGGCCTCTGATCAAGTTCCGCAAGTCTAGTGACCATGTCCGTCGTCGCCAGGATCGCCTCTCTGCTCCGGATCCAGCTTGATCAACGTGTCAATTCTCATAATCGCAACACATGCTTCCACAGCAGACTTGAGCTGCTTGACTTTCGACATGGAAGGCTCGAGCACGCCTGCCTTGACGCAATCGTGCACTTTGCCCTTGGAGAGGTCAAGTCCGTAATTCTTGTAGCCCTTTGCCTTCGCCAGAGCCTTGGCGTCGGCATCAAGTGCTTGTTGTGTTTTGGTCTGAGCGGGCGTGGGCGCGCCGTTTGCAGGAGCTGGTGCATGTGCCGATGCGGGCTCTGCCGAGCGTTGCGACAGCGCATGCCGTGATCGCAGCTGTGCCACCAGTTCTGACGAGTCTTTTGCAGCGTTGACCGCAAGTGTGCTTGGAATGACGAGCAAGGAAGCAGCAAATGCACCGATGGCGAGCTGTTCTCGTGAGCCCACTGATGTCGCCCACTCCTCGAGGTAGATGTGCAAGGCGGTCTCAACAGCACCACCACCTGGCACGATGCGTCCGGACTCAAGCGTGCGCTTGACGGCAGAGAGCGAATCGTGTACAGAGCGCTCCATCTCGTCCAGAGAGTACTCGTTGGGACCTCGTAGGATGATGGATGCTGCGGTATGCACCTTGGGACCCTTCACAAGAATGCACTCGTCGTCCGATATCCTCTCTTGCACAACCTCCTTCGCCTCACCGAGCGCCTTGGGGTCGAACACCTCATCACCCGTGTTGATGTCTGCGAGCGTCGAGATCATTGTAGCCCCGGTCGCCTTTTCTATCCGCCTCAAATCCTCCTTCTTACACCTCCTCACTGCCATCGCTCCCTTCTCCACGAAATGCTTCAAGCACAAGTCGTCGATACCCTTGGTTGTGAAGATCACGTTCGCGCCTGCCTTCAAGATCATCTCCACTCTTTCCACCACCAAGCTGCTCTCACGCTCCCGAATCTTCTCCAACTGTGCTGGATCGTCAATTACCACATTCACGCCCATCTTCATGCGCTCTTTCTGCAGATTCATATCCAGCACCGCAATCTTGGCATCTGTGATTCTCGTCTTCATCGCTTGGCTGGCAACAGTGCAATTCAAAGCATAGCCTTTTACTAGCATCGACTCTGTAGCGCTCTTTCCGTGCGATTTGAGCACGTTCACTGCCTTGACTGGGTATCTGACCTCATTTCTGGCATTGGTGGTCTTCACGCTTGTGATGGCATCCACGACCATGTTCGCAAAGAAGTCTGAATCGGCACCAATGATCTTGGAGCTCATCGACGTCTTCGCGATGTTGATCAAGCTCTCCCGTCCGAGTGTCTCCACCTTTGTGCTCACGTTCTCGTTCATATATCGCACAGCTTCTCGGAGTGCTAATCGGTACCCGGTGATAATGGTGGTAGGGTGTATGCGCATCTTCATAAGCTCGTTTCCGCGGCGTAGCAGTTCAGCAGCGATGAGGACCACACTCGTCGTGCCATCTCCAACTTCCTTATCTTGCTGTTGGGCCAGGTCGACGAGGATCTTGCCAGCTGGGTGCTCGACGTTGAGGAGTGAGAGGATGGTAGCCCCGTCGTTGGTGACTGTCACATCACCAATGTCGTCCACCATCATCTTGTCCAGTCCTGACGGGCCGAACGAAGACTTGACGATGTTCGCAATGGCTTGGGTGGCGAGGACATTTTGGTCGCGAATATCGCTGCCACTGATCTTTTGCCCTCCTAGGAACAGAGTGCCGTTGCGGCCTTGCCCAAAGATGCCTGCCATGGCCGGCTGTGCGCGGTTGGGAGCTTTTCAGCAATTGTCAGATTTGTGTGGGGATTCGGAGCGCCTCTCGATGCGGTTTGCGGTCGGGATATGGAGATGATATTGTGTTGTTGCTGGCAGTGATTCTGCTTGTTTCTATGTGGCCTGGAAATTTGTGAGGAGCCGCGTCGAGCTTCGAAACGCGAACTTGATGTTCAACTGGTCCCGCTCCCAGCATTTTTCAGCACGGCTGGTCAAGAGCCTGCCCATACTGCACTGCACTGCATACGGGAGAACTCTCACTTCCACATTGGCACCCTGGTACTCTTCATGGCTGTCCAGACCTCTCGTGAAGAGCGCACTTTCACATTTCCAGTTGTCGGCAGAGGAGATCTCAGGCACATTCGAAGGCACAACCGACGAAAATACTCCTCAGGTCCTAGTCATCGCCACTGCTGGCATTGCTCAAGATCACGCAAACAAACCAAGATCTTTTTGCGGACATATTGACATGATGTTCTAGTTGAGAGAAGGATAATGCCGCCAGAAAGAGGCGCTACACCTGACTTCAAGCAAAATTTCCATCGTTTTCGACCAAAGCTTCACTCAAAAATGCAAAAAGGAAAGATCTGAGTGCAGACACTTGATCAAGACCGACCAATATCCCTCCGTCGAGATTTCCAGTATGACTTTGCAGGAGGAGCCTCTCAGGAGCTCTGAAAATGGCATGGTGTTCAAAGTGATTGGGCTGATCATTTGCATGACTTGCACACTTCCGCGGACCCTCAAATCGCATTCATGGCTCTCCTTGACCTCATACTGTTGCATTATCACGGCCACAATGATTGCACTGATTGCTATGGCTGTAGACAAACCAGGCAAAGGAACTGTATATGTCGCGCTACCTTCGGCTATCACAGACTTCGCGGACTGGAGTCTGGATATTAACAACGTTTTGGTATCGTTCACTGCATCTCTCGCTTATGGAGGAGATAGAGCGGTCACTAGACTTTCCGAAAGCACTTGTGGCCACGAATATCAACATGTTCAGTATGTATATTACTGTCGGACTCGTTATATACTGGTATGCCGGCCAAGATGTGGCTTCACCTGCTCTTGGTCTCAGTAGGACCGTTAAATTGGAAGCTGGCCTACGGTATCGCGACTCCGACCATCGTCGTTGCTGGAGTTGTTGCGGCATATCCTGCGTGCAAGAATATGCATCGCTTCTCCTAGGCAACCGAGGACAGTGGGCAAGCTATTACCCTCCACGGCTTATACATCCTTTGCCGCTATTGCGCTGAAAAATGGCTGGCTTCTTCCAATACTTGCCCGCAGTGCCGCGTGGTCCTCTTCTAGGAGCCCTCAAGTGATGGCATTGCAGAAGCTGCGAATGCCCTTGAAGCAGCAGCAGATACGATTGCGGCGGCACACCAACATGTTGACTCGTTGATGCTGCAAGAGCAATCCGAGGTCCTCTACCTAAAGGTGCGACATCTCGAGGGCGATCCTTTTGCGCAGGACTATATCGCACTCTCGCACTTAACGCCGTTCATAATGAACGGGCTGCGCAATCGGGAAGCGGCCTACGCATCTCACAAGGTGCTCGTGGACTACAAGTATGCTCAGTATAGCCCAGCATTCCCGCCAATACGCGAGATCGGCCCTCTGCCGCCACACGGACGCGTAGTCACCGAATCGGTACTGGTTGATGTTTGGGCGTGGTGGGCCAACCGCTACCACAGTACGCTGGGTAAGATCTTTGAATAGGTTCTTCCGAATCCTCTGCTAACTCCGAATAGCTTACGGCTGGATCGACAGGAGACACCAACCTGTGGCCATAAAGATTTTCCTTGGCCTCTTGCGTCGCGCAATCATCGCAATCATACCGCAGGCCGACACGGCCACCATATCTAAGCTCACAACGCTACTGCTGAAGCAGCTCAATTGAGCACTAATAGCGCACTCGAGGGCTTCAGCGAAGAAGGCTACGCGCTGTGGAAACAACGCCGCAAGCAGCTGTGGATACACTCGACGCTAAACAAATATAGACACGCCGTCTCACAGCTTAGTACAGTCACAAGTACACGGTGCCGCAACTGCGCGCAGCCATCAAAAACCGCCTTGGCTATGACCCACAAAAATCAAAAGACTAAGGAATACTATGTCAACGTGATGATCTAGGCGGACTATACGATCTTCCGATTTCTCGACTCGATCAACGGGGAGCTACAACCACAGGCGGCAACGATCAAAACATGTCCTCAGTGGCATATCCATCTGTCTCATATGCAGTTTGCCGTGAAGGATGCGTCGGTCATAGAGTCGGTAACTGTGGTCGCTGGATTCGCACCACAATGCTTACGCCAGTCGCATAGAGGCATGATTGTGACGTGTAGAGTGGGAATGCATATCAAAGTCTTCCTTTATATGTTTATTCTTCTATAAATACGAATACTTGTAAAGCAAAATACAAGCCTTAGACTACGACTATCGACTGCGGATTGAATTATGCTCTAATTATAATGCAAAAAGAATCATTGCTTGTCATATAGATCGTTCTTACATGAAAGCTTTTCTAGGACAAAAAGCAACACTCTGTCATCGGGTGGAATTGGAGTTGGAGCCAAAAGACAAAAAAATTTAAGGACGTATGCGGACATTGTCACATCACCCTGAGCGCACTCAGATGATACTGCCCGCCGGACTTGAACCGGCGACCTTCAGTGTGTTAGACTGACGTGATAACCAACTACACCAGGGCAGCCGCTGATTGGATGGTAGCGTGACGGTCCTGATGATATGTAATGCACAGTATTTGGTGGGCGTGGTAGTGGGCATGAATCTCGCTCTGAGCTTGTTTGTGAGCTGTCAAGGCTTTTCGCGAATCGGAAGTTCTGTTCAAAGGCGTAATGAATCTCTGGTCTTTGACGTCGCGGAGAGCTGTCAGCTGCTGGGTTGCTCAAGTCCGAAAGGTGAAGTGTGGTGCGGTACGCCCACCAGGCTTGGCATTTCCCAATTAGAAAGGTGACCCGGATCGTCTCAGACTCCATCCGAGTCCTTGCTAGGTATCATCTCCTACCACCTGCATAGTCTCTGCATCGGATCCTCATGTAAGACAAAAGTGTGGTAAAAGCCTGCAAGAATCATACATATGCGGATGCTCATACGTTCTATGTCAGACTGGACCGAAAATCTAAGATACAGAAGTGTAAGAGGCAAACGAACAACTCTAAACAAACTCCGACCGTAATCATGCTAACTCTTTCGCTTTTCCCTGTCAGAAGCTCTGCGGATGTCTTGGGTTGGCGAAACCAAGGCTCCCACAGCAAAGCCAAGCCGTGAGGCACTCTCACATCTTTAGCCTGCGCTCGGCAAGCTCGCAACCCGACACTGTCAAGTGCTAGACCTACGCGGAGCAGCTAAAACAACGAACCAGCATTGCAGCCTTCCTGCCGTGATTTTTGGCGAGCAGTCTGCGAAGTGCTCTGGAGCGAACTGTGAAATGGGAGATGTGCAGCTCTATGCCATGATCTCGGTCTGGGTGAATAGATCGAACATCGGCACACCTGCAGGCCCCTTCCACTCGCCATTCCATCGACCGTCTGCTTTCTTCTTTTCCACAAACTTCAACGCCCCAAGTTCCAGTTCATCCCAGCTGCCCTTCAAGGACACAACATCGTCTTTCCCGAGTTGCTCCACAGCAGCCCGACACCAAGCATAACATCCAAAAAGATTGGCCTTGGCTTGATCCTCGTCGTCCTCCTGATAAATCGGTAGCGGCCCGAGAGACTGTTCGATATCATTTTCCGGGTTCAGTGTTAAGACTTTCCCAACGACGATCCGTGCTAGAAGATGGTTCTCAGAAGTGTAGTCCTTGATAGAAATCCGCTCATATCGCCAAGGCTGACTGACTACGCCGTCGATATTCTGTAGCGTGTTCAGAAGGTGTCGTTTTGTGACTGATCGAGAGGGTTTCCCTTTTGAACTCTTTGGAGCAGTGAATATTGCCCAGTGGTAAGTGTTCGGATGTTTCGGGCGTGCGTAGAGTGCCAGCTCCAGGCGAGGCTTGTTGCGGTATCCAATGGTGTGAGTATGCATCCTGAGTCTATTGTTGGGGTTACTTTGTTCGGCTGTGTGAGGATCTGCTTTCAGCCAGATAGATGATCAGGCCTGGAACTCGCTCCACAAGCCATAGGCGCTGAACAAGAAGATAGTCTTTGTGTTTCTAAAGGTGGCCTCGCAGTGTGTTCACAGTCTCCGATCTCTGCAAGGATAGCATGCCTCCTTTCCGTCGAAGCTTTTCTGGTACTTCCGTCCCTTTCTTACTCCTGACCAGCAGTTGGGGCAGGAAGGTATGTTCCAAATACTTGACAAATTCCGTGCAGGTGTCAGTCGGCACCTATGTGGATGTCCTACCCAACGAAGGCGTGGGCCACCAGTTGAGATATGAGGTATGAGATGTGATCAATACGGCAAATGCAGGTCCCTGGAATAATCAACAGGCCCAGCACAATGGGATACTTTGCGCAAAGCACTGCGCATTGACTGTTTCACATTTGCATAGGGCGAGCGGTATCTTAGCCGAGGGCCGAGGCAGGCATCGATCGATAGAGTTGAGATATACGACGTGAGATATGTAGTCTGTACTCGATCGATCAGAGTTGTTCGGCCTGATCAGAGTGGTGAAGGAAGGAGAAAAGTGGGAGGAGGAGGAGGCTGTAAGAAGGACTTTGATGTGCTTTGACGCCTGCCTCGTCAAACTCATCAAATGGCGCTCCGACCCATGATGACGTGACCCTTTCACTGCCCAGTGCCGGAGTGGATCCATCCCTCCCTAAGCACATCGCGCGTGAGCTGGCACTGGCACTGGCGCCTTTGTCCAGTGACTCGACAGACGCGGCGCCTACCAGAGGCATGGCTGGCAGCATCTCCTTCACCACTTCCTAGACTGCGCAGCGTGGAAGACTTTGCCATGGCACGAGCAGCATAGCATTGACGGCCTGCCGCGGCATCGACCTCTCCCGCATTCCACCCTCCCAGGCATCCATATCAACATGCCATCCTCCTCGAGCCAGCCATCGAGCCATCGCGGCCACGAGAACGGCGGCGCTACTATCGACAAGCTTGAATACCATCCTGGCGGGAAACCTCTGCTGCACCCTGACGAGAGTCAAGGCGAGAGCAGTGGGCGGCAAAGTGAAGACAGGAGCTATGCTGGGAGCTTCTTCTCAGATGTCGCCGAGGGCATAGCGGACAACGATAGAGAGCAGTTCAAGAGAGAGTTCGTGCGCTACGGCAGCTTTGCCTGGGCATTGATTAACACATTGGGTGCCGGCAGCATCACGGCATACTCATTATATGCGCCACTCTTCCAGCATCGCCTCCACTACAGCCAGCTACAGGTCAATGGCGTGTCCATCACTGCTGAGATCGCCATGTATTTGCCTGTTCCACTTTGGGGCATGATGTGTGATCGCTTCGGCCCTGGTATGCCCTCTTTTCTCGCAGGCACCTTTTTCGGCTTCGGGTACCTGTTGGCCGCTTTCACCTACAAAAGTGGTCCACCTCCAGCGCTAGGCGGTTCTGGCTACCCATACTGGGTCATGGTTCTCGCTTTCATTTTCATCGGTCTCGGCACATCTTGCATGTACCTCTCCGCTGTCACGACTTGCGCCAAGAACTTCGGGCGAGGAAAGTACAAGGGTATCGCACTCGCATTGCCCATCGCATGCTTTGGCTTGAGTGGTATGTGGCAGGCGCAAGTCGGCAGTCACCTGCTATACGAGACCAAGGCGGACGGCAGCAAGGGCGATGTCGATGTGCACCGTTTCTTCCTTTTTCTCGGCATTCTTCTGCTAGCTACCGGCATCATTGGCTGTTTCACTCTTCGAATCGTGGACGAGGGAACCCTGATAGAAGAGGCTGTGGATGAGCTGGAGCAGAGCGGGTACCTCGAGGAGAGTCAATTCTTTCATCGACTACTGCAAGAAAGGGAAGAGCAAGTTGGCTATGGTACACTGTCTGATTCTGAGATGCTGGACATTCGCCGCAAAGCAGAGGAAGAGACGGAGAGGAAGCTCGAGGCGCAGCGGATGAAGACGTGGCTCCTCAATGCTGAGACTCGTCGTTTTCTCACTGATAAGACAATGTGGTTTCTTGCAGCTGGCTTCTTGCTCGTCACAGGGCCTGGAGAGGCATTCATCAACAATCTTGGGACCATTATTGACACACTGTATACTCCTGGGACAGAACCCAAGGAAGGCAACCCTACATCAGCCGCTACGCATGTCTCGATTGTGGCTGTCACCAGCACCATCGCCCGTATCCTGACAGGCACTTTGACGGATGTCCTTGCACCTACCTCCGTACCTCACCAGCACTGCCGTGGCCCGAACTCTATGGTAAACAGCATTGCTTCCCTCCCGTCGTTACCAGGCGAGAAGAAGAGGCTGGAGATTTCCCGTGTTACCTTCATCATGGCTTTTTGCATCTTAATGTCTATCGGCCAAATCATTCTCGCATCTGGCGTAGTCCAGCAGCATGCCGAGCGCTTCTGGCTCGTCTCAGCATCGATCGGAGCAGGCTATGGAGCAGCTTTCAGCTTGACACCAATCATAATCAGTGTGATTTGGGGCGTCGAAAATTTTGGGACGAACTGGGGCATTTGTGCAATGATGCCGGCCATAGGTGCGACGATCTGGGGACTGGTTTACTCTGGTGTCTACCAGTGGGGAGCAAATTTGGGAGATGCTCAAGGGAAAGATGTGGTTCGAGACAAGCTTTGTTATGGCATCCTATGCTATGCGCCAACTTTCTGGGCAATGGCTGTATGTGTTTGGATAGCATGTGGGTTGTGGTTGTATGCATGGCGAGGACCTGGTGGGTGGAGGCAAAGATCAATTGCTGTATGAAGGGATTCATAGTCCTGAGATATCAAATGAAGCCCAGCCAAGCTTGTATACGAGAGTACGAACCATACGTCTGCGCGCTTACTACCATTGCTGCTTCGCGATCTTTGATAGGTGTCTCTACGAATATTTGATGTAATTCAGCAGATCTCACATAGTTACACGGAGGTTTACGGCGTCAAGTGAAGGTGGCTCCTTCTCCTTGGTGCAGAGGATTGGCGAATGCCTCGGCTGTTCTCGGTCTCAGAACTCCACCCCAGACATGCAAACATCAATCCATCATCAACATCAACATCAACACCGACACCGACACCGACACCGACACACGAGATCAATCACAGCCAGCACTGTTATCATTCCGGCCGTCTCGGAAGGGCTCACAAAACACATCTCTCTACAGAACCACCTTCAGGAAACATGGCCTCATCAGCGCCCAAAAAACGCCTCCAAGCCCTCTCGGAGCATCTCATCAACCGCCCCAAATCTACAGGCCAATTCGAAAACATCCCCACCATCCCCACCGTCGCCCCTTCCAGCAATGGCCCCCGCATGAAAGACAAAATCTGTATCATCACCGGCGGCAACTCTCCTTTAGGAATCGGTCGTGCCACAGCACACCATTACGCGAATAACGGTGCCAAAGCCATCTTTCTTTGCGATCTGAATACGGATTATCTAGAGGTGCATAAGAGGGAAATCGAGGGGAAGTATCCTGGATGTGAGGTGCTTGGGAGGAAAGTTGATGCGGGAAAGGAAGAGGATGTTGCGAAGGTGGTTGATGAGGCTTTGAGTCGGTTTGGGAGATTAGATGTTTTTTTCGCGAATGCGGGGATTTCGGTGACGATGAAGAGTGTTTTGGAGAGTGACGCGGAGGATTTTATGGATGTTATGAGGGTGAATGCTCTTTCGGTGTTTCTTGCTGTTAAGCATGGGGCGAGGGGGATGTTGGTTACGGGGAGTGAGAAGAAGTTTCCTGGCGGTAGTATTGTTGGGACTGGTGAGTGGTCGTGTGCCGGTTTGGGTCTTCTGATTGCTTGCTGACTTGACCTTGTTTTAGCTTCCTCGGCCGGCATGCGTTCGAATGCTGGGGCGACGGATTACAGTGCGAGTAAAGCGGCGGTCATCTCTATCATGCAGACATCTTGCTATCAACTTTCTGGAACTGGCATCAGGTGTAATGCGATATGTCCTGGCATTATCGAGACTGGTATGACTTCACAGATGTACGAGATGGCTCGAGCACGAGGATCTGAGCAGAAGATTGGCCAACTGAACCCGTTGATGAGAGGAGGTGTTGCTGATGAGGTTGCGAGAGTGGCGCTTTTCTTGAGCAGTGATGAGAGCAGTTATGTAAATGGGCAGGCGTGGGCGGTATGTGGTGGTCTCACAGCAGGCCATCCATTCGTGCCTGGAAAGTTGGCGTAGAGAAACGCAAGAGCGCATTTGAGTGACAAGAATGGGAAAGTTCACTTTTCGACCTCTTGGTAGGTGCGAGTGCCGCAGTACCTATTGACAAAGATTTAGTATCTCTCTTGAACTTTCCACCGACATCAGTCTTACATCGCAACACAGAATCGCATCACATACGCCTCATATACGCCGCGCATTACGATTATTATCAGGACATCACGACATATCGCTGGGCCCATCGCCTTTCTCTCTTTCTCTGTAGTGCCCTGCTGGCCGTGATGGCGACTTCCATGAGTGATCATGCAGTCGCACAGCTGCGAGCAACGCGCGCCACCAACGAAGAAGTCATTCGTCAACTCCTAGCATCCAACGCTGCACTCGATCAAATCATCGCTGACCACGAAGGCACCACCACGAGACTTTCCTCGTGCCGCTTCCTCGACCTTCCACCTGAGCTTCGAGATCAGATCTATGATATTTGCCTGTCGGTGGGCAAGGTCTTCCTACCACCATTTCTGGCTGGAGATGTCCGCCTAGAAGGCCGACGTGAATTTGAAAAGCCTAAATGGCAACTCCTGCTTGTGAGCAAGAAGATTCGCGAGGAGTCCGCCAAGAGGCTTTTCTCATGCAATTTGATGGTTTTGAGCGCCGCATTGGGTTCGAAAGATGACACGGCGTGCAACGTCTGGCTGATTCGAGTCTGGTCGCCATTCACGCATCTCAGAAAATGGCCTCTGAGCTTTCGACACCTCAAACGCGAGTTTCTAACGAAGGTCAGCATTGCATTTGACATGCGATGCGAGGATAAACTGCAGTCTGCTTGCTTAACGAAACCAGTCTGGACACCCAACGGTACCTTGGCGAGACCTCACCACGACACACTGCTTCAGAAGACCCTAACGTGGAAGTATATGCTCCACTGTTCCATGGGTCCCGCCCTCCGTCATCTACAGGTTGACCTCACAAATTGCTATTGTGACTCCGGATGCCATCGCCTGACGAGTACAGCTGCTGCTCTGCTGGTTCACGACAACAAAGATCTGCCGATAAAATTGGAAGTGATCGAAATCCTGGGTACACAGACTGCTGACGAACGCCGTGAACTCACTGGCGCACTGGGATTTGAGTTTACAGAAGATGTCAATGAAAATGAGCTTCGATTCCATCGAAACGATAGCGGTCAAAGCATTGATCACGGCAAATTGACGATGCGATTCAAGGCTTTCAAGATCCCAAGCAACATTTCGTCCTTCCGTAAGTGGTCATATCCTGCGTCATATGACACAAAGTGGTACGAGACTCGTTGCTGACGAAAATTTGCACAAATAGGATGGAGTTCTCATCTAAACTTTTATCAGCATGAAGACCTAGGTGACGAGGTCATCGAGTACGGTCCTCCAACGATCCGCTTCAAGCTCGAAGACCCGTACAGCAGTTGGTACGAGAGAGCGCCAATCGATCAACCTCGACCGTCGAAGACTGGATCTTCAGAAGTGCTGGTGCAGCTATGATACGTCAATGGCGGAGCGTTCTTTTCGGCTGCCATCACTGCGCTCCTTGAATATTGTGGCGTACTCGGCTTGATGCCATAAATAGCAGGAAATGCATTATGTCGCTCTGCGACGACACTCCTTGGACCGATGACTTAAACTTGCTTAGGAGGGATCAGTTCCGTCGGCTTTTCAATTGCTGAAATCATCAGTTCATAGGTAGAGGCTGAAAGACGCATGCCCACCACTGCACGGCAAGGACATCATCAGTGAGGCTTGTGTACGGAAGTCGTGTGGTATGGGAATCCTTCGACGCTTGCTCCACCAATCCCTTCGATTCCTTCGCTGTTCATTCCCAATGAGGACACGCACGGCCATCCGCTTCACGACCGACGATCGCCCGATGTACTTGCGACTGCGGCTCCTGCAATTAAGAGATGTAGTTGTTATAGGTCGCTACTGTCCATTCATCCACACCCTGTGCTGCACACATATCGAAAAGAATGCTTGCTCACTTCACTGCATTGACACTGGCCTTGGGCTGGGCAAACACTTCTCCTCTACCCGCAACCGAAAACCATCATCAACTTCCAATCCTCAACATCACTCGCTTCGCCAACCTTGGATTTGAAAATCTGGCCATACGTCCAAATGGCCAGATCCTGACGACCACCACCAACCCCAACGCGAGCGTATACCAAATCGACCCTTTGAACATCCTACCGCCTACGCTCGTCCACACGATCCCGAATGTCACCAGCGCAAATGGCATTGTCGAAGGAGAGCGGGATATTTACTACATTGCATCAGGCCACATAAACATCACCTCACCATCCGACACATTCCCAAGCTCCTACTCCATCACAGAGCTGAACATGCGAGGAGTATTCGTTCTCCCGCATGGCCGACTATCACGCCAGCCTACAACGAAACGTATCGCAAGCTTGCCAAACGCAGCACTCTTGAACGGAATTGCGTTTTCTCGTCCTAGATCCGACCATCTTCTTGTCGCAGATACATTCCGTGGCCTTGTCTGGAACGTCAATGTCAAGAAGGGGAGTGTTGGGGTAACACTCAACGACACAACGACCAAAGGTTCCGCTTCCAATCCCCCCGGGATCAATGGCGTCAAAGTCCATAATGGATCTTTATATTGGACGAATACGGGGCAAAGCAAATTGTATAAAGTCGAAATCGATGAGAAGGGTAATGTGTCGGATGGGTGCAAGGCGCAAGTTGTTGCGGCGAATCTTGGTTGTGATGATTTTGTTTTGGATTTTGACGGGAATGTATATGTCGCTTCTCCGTTGGGTGTTGTTACGAAAGTTAGTCCTACTGGCCAGCAGGAAGTCATTGCAGGGAATTCGACTGGAAGTAATAAGCTGAATGGTCCTACGGCTGTTGGGTTTGGTCGGTTGGCGTCTGATCGATGGAGTTTGTATGTCACGACTGATGGAGGCCTACCACAGTTTGGAGGTCCTGTTAATGGGACTGAGGGTGTTTCAAGGATCGACTTGGGGATCACATCTGCTTCGTATTAGAGGAGATGTGATTATTTGTCTCCTCTCCGATTCTAGTGTATAAGTAGCATGGATCGTCCAAACCGTCACAAAAACTGCCTGCATAGAGGGAGCTCTCTATTACTGCTGTTATTGGTGTCTCTCTACTGCACTCAATCGTCTTCTACTAAATGAGAAGCATCCGAAGCATGAGTGAAATATGTCCATCTACAACATGAAGTCAGCAGTCCAAGCAGCCAAGAAAACCACCAAGCCTCCGAACTCGTAATCTAAACTCCCACGCACTTCGCATCCAACGCCGTCCACATGTTCGGCAGGAAGAATCCAGAAGGAACGCCCAAGTTAAGAGCCAAGATTAGAACCTATCATCCCTTCCTAAAAAAAAATCCCCCTTCTTCATCTCACAATCCCGTCCCGTCATGTCGAATACAACACCAAGAACCAAGACGTCACACACCTTCAAACACAGACAGGATAGCATGTCCTGCAGAGAAACAAGGATCTTGGCTTTTTCGATGATCGATCCGAGAATGAAGCCTGTGAGCAACAGGGTAGACCAAGCAAGAACTTGCGTGGGTCCCTAGACACGTTGGTGTATCGAAGAAAGAGACAGAGATGTGAGTTTTCGGAATAGAATTGGAACTAGTTGGTTGGAGAAACAAGAGTTATGTTATTTGGTCTGTCGGTCTATACAACAAGGGAGGGAAGATGTTTTGGTGAGGTAAACGAACAAGGTGCAGTTTCGTCCGGGACACGGGGATATCGTTCCTCAGCGAACCCGGACAAATTGAGATCAAGTGTCGACGCTGACCACGACCGAAACCGATATTCATTCGAAGTTACGCCGCTCCGTGGTCAGCTGCACAATTTGTGGCTTGAGCACTACGTCAATTCAAGACATGTCAGCTGTGCCTAGTCCAGTCTAACGAAGGACATGTGTTCGATCTCGAGCGGGGTTAGACAGTAATCCGAAGAGTTTGTACAGCAATAGGCATCCAAATTCATTACATGGGTATCTCTAGATAGAATCGTTTCATCGTCGCTTGCTACAGCATCATCTCCCCGAGAAAGGGTCTCGTGTCAAAATTTCACTTCTGTCAGACTGTGCTAATTTGACAGTCGTGGGTGTGCCTGTACATCACCAGATCTGACTGCTCGGTCCAAATCCTCGTCGGCGGCTGTTGCTGCTTGTCGCGGTTCCTCTGTTTCACCGCCACGGGGTATGTTCAATGTGCTCTCCTCTGAGCATGCCGTGGCTTTCTGCTCGGTGTTGTAGCACAAAGCCGAGTGTCGTATATTCGACTCATGATCGATGCAGAAGTCAAATCGTTCTTCGATTTCGATCAATCCGTCATCCAGATCGTTCAGGTTTGAGTCGCTTGGAACGATGCAATTTAGAGAAGTTTGCATTTGCGGGTCACATCTTCTGGCCACGCATCGTAGTTGTCGGTGTTGTAATGTTCTTTTCCGAAAGTCGATCCTTGCTTCCTTCAACCCTTCTTGAGAGAGAATGCCCGAAATCTTGTCTTGATCGCATTGACTGGCTGAATAGGCTGGTTTGAAACGGAAGAAGTCGGCGACGATGACCTGTCGCTTACGCTGGCTAGGCTGCCTTGCGACTCTGATCGTCGACGAGTTTCTGCCAAAACATCTGCGAGGCTGACATTTGATCGCGAGTATGGAGTGTTGTCGGTGTCGAGGATCTCGACAAACTTTGAAGCCATGTTGTGTAGAGTAAAGTGTATGCTTGTTGAAGTATGTTCTTAGAACTGTTGTCGATAGACAGATATAGTAGCGACAGTCAGAAGAACAGGTATACAATAGTGGTCAGATATGCGGAGGCGGGCGGAGGCGGGCACGAGGTCTTTGTATCTGAGATCCAGATAGACCCTACCACGCAAGCTTCCACCTCACCCTGTGAGGCTGCGACACCAACGGACCGCGGTGCCTGCAAAGATCCTAGGTCGTGGGACAGAACCCTGCAGACGGTCAATTTTGACTGCCGGGCTGGTAACACTCAGCCATTCTGCGAAGGGAAAAGACGCCACGCCGCATGTTAGCTTGTGCAAGGTCAATTAATGATGACTGAGAAGGCGATCACGTTGCCCGTTCCCCAAAAGAGCAGTGATAAGACGCTGTGTCACCTGTGAGGATGGTCTAGGCGTGTCGCCGTTCGGCAAGTTTTGTCGGCGGAGGAATCGAGTCTCGAGACGACCAAGCACGGTCGACAGAAAGCGCCGATCGCTGGGGCTCCAGAGTCCAGCCAGCGGCCAAAGTTGGCAGCATATGAAGGACCAAGGATGTCAGCTTGCACGGCATCACGTCACGTCACATTCGTTGGCTTGTGCAATCTGACAGCCACATGCATCCGTCTGAGCTTTCACAACATCTCCGCGTGCGATAGTAGAATTATTAGAGCACACCAAAAATCCACACAGCAACAGCCATCTATTCTATGCAGAGGCGCATGAAAATCTGAACCTTCGTCTGACTAGCAGCCACAAATAGATCGGGGAGGATTCCTAGGCACGTGCGAGGCGTTGAGGATGCAAGACTCGCTCGCCGAAAGCATGCATTATTTTCGTTTTAGAAGACTAGAATAGTGAGCCATGTAACCCTTTCTGGATGAATCGCTGCTTGGCTCGTTGCATTATTCTCACCGATTTCACGCAGCCCGGAAGCAGTGGAAGATGTCTGTATCCCGTTCGCCTCGTCCATCGCAAGCCGGGCCCGTCTCAACGCGGTGGCAAGTTTGAGTATGCGCCTGACTCTCGGACCGCTAACTATTGAAAGGCTCTGCAGGCAATCTGATCGTGCAGAAGCGTATGTACGACGCAACAAGTATGCTTGGAAGAACGCATGTTATTGAGTGCAGGCGATCTCAACCATAACCGTGCTCTGTACTGGATGGATCTAGACCACACGGCGCCAACGGACTCGACGGAGCGACAAACGGCACAGATATTGTGTGAAACCACTTACGTTGCCACAGCATCTCTCAAGCAATCTGGCCTGACAAATATGGCTTGCAGACTACGACAGCTGCATAGCATTTCGAGTGGCTTCCGCATGCTCTTCATCTATCTTCTGACACTTCACAGCGATTCATGCTCGGCGCGACGCGGCGGCAAAGGGGTTGGTAGGTATGTATCGACGCAGTATAGATGAAACGTGAAGATTGGTTCCTTTCGGGCAGAGAGAGGATCCACGGTCCTGGAGAGGGGAAATCTGGGGCCGAGCACGAGACTGGGGAGCTTCGTCGACAGACATCGCTACTACTGTCCGAGACATCTCAGGCGACTGTCCGTGGTTGTTCCAGATCCGGGGTGCAGAAACACGCAGGACCCCTCGAGACTAAACCGAGCCCTAGCTACCCGCCCGAGCCCCAGCATATCCCGAGATTACGAGATCGGCTGTTCTATACATAATCGCGTATAGAAGCGGATAATCGCGTCGATGCAGGCCCCGCTAGCCGGGCAACTACTATATACTATACAGTGCAATACTACTACTAGCTATAAAGCCAAAGTTTGTTAGCAAATTAGTAGTATAGCAAAATTGAAGGTATTATTAGTTGTTAGCTATCTACTTAGGTCTAAGCGGATTACGACCTACCGCCTTATAACTACGCGAAGCTATATATACTAGCTTATACTAGTCTCTTAGCTACTAACTAGTATACTACTATTACTAAGTAAACTAATAGTACTAAGTAAACTAATAGTGCTGTTATTGTAGTACGTTATAGTATAGAGGGCTTATTGTCTACCGTACTAGCTATATAAGCGATAGCTACTAGCGGTAGTACTAAGTAGCCTATTGTCGTTATTGCTTATAGAATGCCGCCTATTAGCGGTTATGTTCCACCTATTGTCTTACCTACTATTCTTCTAACTATAGACGGTTGTTCTTACGTACTCGAAGGTCCTTAATCTCTCGGCGAAGTAGATCTAGCTTAGAAGGTAGCTCCGGAGTAGCTAGAAGTAATAATAAAGGCTTAACTCGTAAATTATAACACTCGAAGCCGCTTAGATAGTAAGTAGAGCTATACGGTCGATTAGCCTTCTAGCAAGGGCACTATTAAGTGCGGCATTAGCTCTTTACGCACTTATAGTACTTAACGGTAGTTCTTAACTAAGTAAGCGATACGCTAGGCTCGAGTATAAAGTCCGCTATTCTTACTATTAAAGTCTTCCGCTTCTTAGCCGCTATAGTCTTATTTAAATTATCTAGTTCTCGAGCCGTTACTACTCGCTTTATAGTATATAATATAGCTCCGCTAGTAAGAGGTTTGCGGTTACTAAAGATTACTTCCGGTTCTCGTAGATTGAACGTTCTACGGAAATTAATTAACTAGTACTTATAGAAGTAGCTCGGCAATAGTATAGCGCGGCTTCTACCTATTTCGAGAAGCTTTATAATATCGTGTTTGCAAGGATAACTATAGGTCTTACTAAGGTAGTCGTTATAGCGGCATTGTAAGTAGGTATACGAGTACGCTAAGTGCTTAATCTCGTTGCTATTCTCGTTAGTTATAGTCCGTAGGAGGTCGTTAGCGCGTTAGTATAGAACCTTTACCTCGAGAAGGTAGTAATCGCTTATAACTCGAGAAACGCTTGCTTAAAATAGTCTAGTAAGTACCTTGTTATACCTCTTTAGGTTCTTAGCAAGGCGAATACGGCGACGGTTATACCCTTCTTTCTACTAGTTAAGAAGGCTCTTAAATAAGGTAAAGATATCGTAGCGGCTACTATAGTTAAGCTAGACTTTAATACGTCTATATGTAGCTTTAACTCGCGAGGTTGTCTTATAACTAAAGTATAGAACTTCGTTAGTCTAGTAGTCTACGATATAGACCTTATATCGCTACTAGTTGTTATTAAGATAGGCCTTAAATATAGGATACACGTTGTCCAATTTCCGTACGTTCTTATTAAACTCGGCTTCAGTCTAGCTATAGACTATATAAGTAAACAACCGTAGAAACTTACTAGTTTAAGGACTATCAATCTAGCTACCGTTAGCGCTCTTTACTTATCTAAACTCCCCCCGTTCCTTACGGATACGAGTTAATACATCTTACTGTAGATGCTAGTTATATACGATATTCTTAGCTTCTAGTATAACCTCCTTAATAGCGTAGATTAGTAACTCTTCGCGATTAGTACTAATAACTAGGGGCATTAGATAACCGGCTTATTCGAGGCCCTTCCGCAGTAAGCGTAACAACTCTATAAAGTCCGGTTTATCTAGCTTCGGACGGACAAGGCTAACACTAAGCTTAATAGTGTTATTTATCGGTCTAGCAGCGACAATATCTAGAAGCTCGAGGTTATAGATATTAGTTAAATACATTATATTAATAATAAAGGTATATAGCGTATTCTTAAAGGCCTCGAGGGACTTAGGGTAGAGCGTAACTATACTTCGAATAGCACCGTTCTTAGGGTTCTCGTAAATATCGTAGAATATGCTATTCTCGTCTAATAACTTAACTATCCGCTAAGCCTAGTTCATCTGTTATCGAGCGTCTATATTGCGAGCCTATACGACATTCCGTACGTCCTTCGGCTTAAGAATAATACTACGGCCGCGGAAGTAGGCTATAATCTTCGAGGTTAATATACGAGACTGCTATAAGCGCTCTAGTTGTTTAAGGAACTCCGCGGATCTCGAGCGGCGCCTATACGTAGTAAGAGCGACGATATCGTCCTTCTTATAGTTATAGAAGCAGTAATCTTCTTTAGTAGAATACCGGATAACCTATTAACCTTTAGGCTAGCTCGGGTCGATAGTAATAGCGTAGAAGTAGAATTTACAACCTATTTTCTTCGAGGTTAACTTCCGCTTTATTACTTCCTTCTAAGTGCGCTTATCTAGTAAGCCGAAGCAACTATATACCTAGCGGTAGCGATATTTAATACCATTCTTATTCTTCTACGGCTTATACTACTTAAACTCGTATCTAGTCGCCTTTCCGAAGGTATAGACGTACGACTCGAGGGCTCGATAAGATAGAAACTGCGACTCGCACGGTATTAGACTACGAAAGCGCTCCTTTAGTAAGAACGGGTACTTCTAAGGGCGTAGTAACACTAATCGATAGTTAGGAAGCGATATACGTTCTCGAGGCACGTTTAGTAAGCGACTACGACCTCGAATACGTGTTTCCTACGACTTAATAACTACCGCCGAGAGCGCGCCTTCTACCGCTATTTCTACCGCTATTTCTACCTCTTCCTACGACTTAATAACTACCGCCGAGAGCGCGCCTTCTACCGCTATTTCTACCGCTATTTCTACCTCTTCCTACGACTTAATAACTACCGCCGAGAGCGCGCCTTCTATCGCTATTTCTACCTCTTCCTACGACTTAACTACTACTACCGCCGCCGCGCCGTTACCGCCGCTAGCGATAACTTTATCGAGAAACTCGTCGTAGGATAGAGATTTAGCTATTTTCGGTAATTACTAGGTAATCTACTATAAAAGGGGGAAGAAATGCGAACTTTAGGTCTACGGTAGAATTCGAGGCGCGACTTCCTAGGTAATACGCTACGCGCCTATTAATAACACTAACTAGGAATAGAAACAGCCTATATTAGGCGGAAAGAGCACGTAATTTAATACAGAGGCGATTCTACAATAGTGCTAGCACCGGGATATACTAGGGCTCGGGCGGGTAGCTAGGGCTCGGTTTAGTCTCGAGGCATAGGACCGGCCTTACGCGTACTAAAGACGCGGCCTGCGCAAATATTGCTTATCCGGACGATGCACCTGTCCGCTAACGACTTTATCTTACTACT